GACAAAAGTAGTTGAGACACTTTTAGAAAATGATGCTTTTCGATATTTGAGCACGTATTCTATTTTATCTGCATCTAGCGTTAATTCTCTGATACCTCAGGCCCTCCAATTCAATGTTGTGTAAGTGCTGTGGTCTGTGCAGTCTAAGAAATAGAAAAATCAACATTGTTTGAAAATCTCGAAAAATGGAAGTTTACTGCCAAGTGTCTCAACACTTTTGTCACCCATTGTAGTCATATAATCAATCATATTTAATACTGACTATTTTTATTTAGGCTTTTAATTCTCAAGAATTCTGAGGAGTGATCAACAGCTGAGTTGTTTCATGATATCAAAATATTTTCAGGCAGACAGTTTGAGTTAGTGAGCATAAAGGAAATCGTCCAGCAGGAGATAGTTACCGACAAATTCTCAGACCTAAATTGCAGTAAACATTGAAACCCTAAGAAGGGAACTCGTGCTACCTTTTAGGGGTTAAAAACGCAGTTCTGGTACCTCTTAAGTGTGTTCAGTCTCAAAAGGTCCACAGCAGGATTTTTTTTGCGGTACCTTTTAGAGTATTAGCCGAAAAGAAAAATGACAGTAGATAATGTGTTGCTTTAGAATTGGTACCTGTTAGGAGTGAAAAACATTTCAAGCCACATTCACAAAACTGGTACCTTGTAGGGGTTCTTTTCAAAATTCCCGACGAACACACGTCCTTTTTATTTTGGAGTTACGATAATAATATTGTCTTTGATAATAATATCGTCTTTAATGTAAATATTAATTTAAATTAACTTAGCGTGCGGCCAACACAACTTATATCTGCATGACAGTGACCAACTCAAAAGCTCATTGCCTACTTTGGTCACTGTATACAATTATTAAATATTGTTTCTTCTAGTTAATTTCTATCTGTATTTATTTTTCCTATATCATTGTAAACCATTTTATGTTAAGTTGTTTTTCTGTAAATAGTGTGCAATAATAACAAAAAACTGAAAACTAAAAAAAAACTGAAAAACTGAGTGAACCCCACCCCCCCTCCCCTTGGGATTGAAACAAATGTAGCAAAGTCAGTAAGGAGATTAAATATTTTTAAGCTTGAGACTGAATGATTGACAGTTTTTTTTATAGATAAGTGATGATGAAGATGACACCCACCCTAATATTGACACACCCAGCCTTTTTAGATGGCGACACCAGGCAAGGGTTGAGAGAATGGAGGAAGCAAAGAAAGAGAGGGAGACACTTGAAGCAAAAATTGAAGAGTAAGCCTTTAACATAAACTGCAAATTAGCAGTTCTATTCAGCTGCATACAGCATTATGCCAAAATGCATTTTAACTTTTATATTAATTTAAACAGTTACTTGATTACTGAGATCCAATAAAGGCAAGTACAGTGGAAGCTCTCTTAACAGACACTCAGTGTTTCAGCCAGAGCGTGCCATTGCGGGAAACCCGCGTTGCAATCAGAGATGGCCCCCAGAAAAACGAAGAAANGACTGCATGTAAAGAATGATGGGATATTAGACTGGTATCAGTTGGTACAAGTACTGTATGGCTTGTGGAAGTATGAAAAGAAAACTGAAGAAGAGAATTAAACCTCATCTTTGTTTTTCTTTGTGTCATTATTAAGTTTTAATATGTACATGTAGTATTTAACCACAGCATGTGCCGTGTATCATGGAGGCGCAGTGGCCTCATGGTTAATGTGCTTGACTCAGGATAGAGCAGTCCGGGTTCAAGCCCTGGCTGGGAACATTGTGGTGTTCTTGGGCCACACACTTTACTCTCACAGTGCCTCTCTCCACCCAGGTTTATAAATGGGTACCAGCCACCTATAATGCTGGGGATAACCTTGCAATGGACTAGCATGCCATCAAGGGGGAAGTAGAAATACTCCTAGTCGCTCCATGCCACAGAAATTAGGATAAGCTCCAGCCTGAAGGGCCCCTTGGCTTATATGCAGACTTTACCTATGTCAGTGTACCAGTAAACACTAGGTTCTCACCAACTACGTATTATGCAGTTTAACTGATGTTTTTTTTTTTCCTTTCAATTTGTAGCAAGCTTTTATGGATAAGTACAAGAAAGAAATAGAACATTATGGAATGTTGTATGATTACAATGACAGTGAAGACTATCTGCGTAAAAATCCTCATTTGGCTTGTGACGACACGGCTAACTACCTGGCTCTTTGGTGCATCAACCTGGAAGTGCAAGAGGTACTGATGTCAAACAGCACGTGACCGGTAGCACAAGCTTTAAGTAGGGCTTCATGGATCTGTAAACCCATGTGACAAATTGTACTAATGTATCAGCTTCTTTTTCATCAAATTTTGAACTTTTTTTGTTTTTCAGTTACTTTCTTAGCAACTGTAAAATTTTCAGTCTGCACAATACCTTCTACAGTGGAACCTCAATACATATATAATGAAGGGTCATTAGGGACTGGCAATAATTAATATGTTCGAGTTATAACAAGGTTTCATTATATCAGGGTTCTTTTCCATTTATTTTGCTCTTACTGGGGGGAAGAATATCGTTCGCTATAGTGAGGACTTTGTTAACAGAGGTTCGTTAAATCAAGGTTTAAAGGACATTTTACTTCTATGTTATTTGGCCCATGCCATATTTACATATGGATATATTGCATTTATATGGGTTTGAATAACCTAATAAAAGAGCTGCACTCTATTGGGTCACTCTTGTTCCTCTCATGAAGTTTCTCATGTACCAGGTTACCCTAGTCTACCATTTCTGTGCTTCTGTTCTTTAACGACCCCGTCTCCAGCCCTGTCCTCTCTACTCCTTGCAGAGCCATTTTATAGCTATAGTTTCATGTTTTAATGAGACCTATTTTTGTTGGAACAGAAACATTCTTTGGTGGAGCGAGTTGCACATCAGACTATCATCATGCAATACATACTGGAGTTGGCCAAGTCACTAGATGCCAGACCTCAGGCCACCATTCACTCCTTCTTTACAAAGTAAGTAGATGTACATGTATACAGGCAGAAACAGTAGCAGTTAACAACATATGAGGTACATATTGGAGTTGGCCAAGTCACTAGATGCCAGACCACAGGCTACCATTCACTTCTTCTTTACTAAGTAAGTAGATGTACAGTGTATAGGCAGAAACAGTAGCAGTTCACTACATATGAGGTACATACTGTAGTTGGCCAAGTCACTAGATGCCAGATCACAGGCTACCATTCACTCCTTTACTAAGTAAGTAGATGTATAGGCAGAAACAGTAGCAGTTAACAATATATGAGGTACATATTGGAGTTGGCCAGGTCACTTGATTCCAGACCTCAGGCTACCATTCACTCCTTCTTTACTAAGTAAGTAGATGTATAGGCAGAAACAGTGGCAGTCACCTTACCGTCGAAATTTCATATGTGATAAGGTGTCCTGATTGGGGTCATGTAGTAGCTCTTGTGAGGTCTCACACATAAATGGCTCGACACCCTTTGATAGAACAATAGAACAAACAACATAAACAATGCCCCTAGCCCTAGAACAATAACAGCTGCCACCATGTCGACAAATAAAATCACAAACCTATAAAAGCTGCTACACTACCGCCTGATTGTGTTCCGCATTATAGATATCGTACTTACAACAGCGAAAATGCAAGGAAAACAAGGAGTAGAGTGAAAGGTTTATTTCGTTGTTGTTCTGTCGCATGTGTCAAAACGGTTCTCTGTGCAAATTCATTTACGTATATTTTTCAACCTATTTGAATCTGAAATGTTCGCTCCGGGCTCCGTTTTGAAACTGGCGTAAGGCAACACGAAAATGGGCTATGAAATAAGTCACGTTTGGTACGACCAAACCAAGTTAGCAGATTGATGTTCCCGGCATGGCACGAACACACATTACTGATACTACTGTTTCCTTAATATCCTGATACTGATAAGACCATGTTTTTCAAGAGATGAGATGAACATCAGATAAAAATTTTAACAAAGGATCAGACAGACCTGTGAAGAAATGAAAACAGATGGTTTTATAATAGGCTCGAGTCTTCATACCCTCCCTCCCTCCCTCTCTCCCTCCCTCCCTCCCTCCCTCCGTCCTTTTTTGCCTGTGTTCCTCTTATTTTACAGTGATAGATGGGTTCTACAATTGTTGTAGTATTAAACTTTCAAGGTTCAGACCTTCACTTCACTTTTGTTCCTACAATTTCTCTTTCATCAGTTCCTTCAGAACAATACAGTGAGGATTCGGCAGGCAGCATTCCAGCCTCTCTACTTGAAGAACAAATCAGGCAAAGATCTTCCATTGTGTTCAACATTGATGAAGATGACTATTTGGTAAGTNCCTCATATTGTCTTAATCTCTTTTTTCAATTCTTCCTTGTGCATCGCAAAGGATGAAGAAAGCTAAAACAGACTTCAAAGAATACATGGACGCGTTTGAAGATGAACTTCAATCATTCCTGCAGAGAGTCAAGGAAAGAGCTCAGGCCAGGATCGATAAAGCTATGAAGGAAGCGGAGGAGGTGAGATTAAACAAACTTCTCTCAAATGTAACTTCCACTTCAGCTTATTTTTTGTTATCTTTTAAGAATCAGGGAGTGCTTTGTGGTTACTATGCATTATACATCGTCACTGGATTTTTCTCCATTTTGTCTTAGACCAAGTGAAGTTCTAGTATGTTCCAGTGGAGACTGGATCTTGTTAATTATACACGTAAGTTCGACCTTCTTTCTGTTTGTGCTCCTAGGAAGAACGACAAAAGAGACTGGGCCCGGGCGGTTTGGATCCTGTGGAAGTATTTGAATCGCTACCACCGGTAAGTAGAGACTGTGTACCTCGTGTTGGAGATACAATTCTAGACAGTTTAAACGTCATTGGCGCCATGTTCATGGACGTTTTTTTTTCTTTTTTTTTTTTTTTAAAAAAAGAGGCTACTTTTTGTAAGATCAATAACAAAAGCCCTTCATGAAGCCTGAACTAGGGAAATAATTATCAGGCAGGCCTGAGACAAGATATTGATTTAAGGGTGAGGCGCGGGTTNCCTGGTTTGAACTTTCATCAAATTTTGCTCGTTTTATTTATTTTTTTTTTTCTTTTCGTCTTTTGGGCTAGATTCCAACACAGGAATTAAACAGAACACGAGTTGTAAAGGTTACCTTTCTGTTCTTTTCAGGAACTTCAGAAGTGTTTTGAAGAAAAAGATATTCCCATGCTTCAAGAAGTTCTTGGCAGGATGCCCGAAGAAGAAGCAAGGGGCTACTTGAAGAAATGCATTGATTCTGGTCTGTGGATTCCCAATGCACAGGATGCGCAAGCGCAGGCCAAGGGAGGAGACAGTACGTCCCAAGAAGAGACGTCGGACGAAGAGCAGTACGAGCGTGTTGCAGAAGAAGTGGACAAATGAAATCATATGGAGAGTTTGATGATTAACGGCGGATTTATGCTTTACATAACAGAATTTTAATTCTAAAAACTACAAAAGAATGTAAATTATCATATAACTGTGCGATAGTCTCGTGCTTGTATGATAAAAGGGGTATAGCTGTGTTCATTTAAAATAATGGCGGTCTTGAAAGGTTTTAAATTTGCACTGTTAAACTGATAGACTCGTTTTTTAAGTCCCTGCTTGCAACAACTAAAGAGATGGGAGACAGAATCTTCCCAAGGCCTGGTTCCCAAGATTCTGATGCAGGCAAATCCTTCCCATAATCTAACGAGAAAAGGAACTTACTGAAAACTGTATCAAACAGAGTAGTACGAAACAGGGGAGTTATGCTATGAACTATGCCTACTCAACATTTGTGACTGACCCATTATCCGCTATGCTTCTCTATTATTCAACCGTCATTTGAAGATTAGGAGATAGCATTTTTATGGTTTGGGTAAAGCTACTTACTTATTGGAATACTTAGTGCCAAACTGACAGCCAAGAAAATGAATTTGCACAAGTCTTAAGAAATCTCCTGATAGCTGATATCAATAAAATTCTGATTTGTTGTCATAATGTAATATTCTGCTCTGCGTTTTTATTGTGAGGTCTGTAGATCAATCTGATGGAGTTTGAACTCTGGCCGCGGTCTTATGCCTTTTGCTCTAGAAATTACTCCACAGAGCTCTATTATCAACTGATCATGAAATTGACTTAAGATAATATTTCAAACACGAAAGACCGTGTTTGACCACATTTCCAAACACAGAGAAGAGAGTTGAAACTGCGACGCGCGGCTGAGTATTTTTGACGGACGACGGTGGAGGTGTTTGGAAATGCGGTCAAACACTGTCTTGAGTGTTTTATATATCTTCCCAATCGAAACTAAAACTAAGGAGAAAACGTAGAAATAAAATTGTAAAAATCCATGCAAATTAAGATCAAATTAACCAAACCCGTCATGGTCACGATTTCCTCTGTTTAAAGTTGAGTTTAAGAATAGTTGTTTATCCCCCTCCTCCCCCCTCCTCCCCCGTCTCTCCCCCTAAAAAAATAATAATCAGATGACTGCTTAAGCAAATTAAAACACTTTATTGTCAGTTATTACAAGTTGTACTTTAGCTTTACACAATAATTTAATTCGTACCAAATATCTGCCTATCCCACTGAGTCCCTTTTCCACGTTTTTGCTAAAATTACAGCACTTATATTTTCTCAAATAAGAATACGACTTGCAAACCAAACAGGACTCCTCGAGCTTGACCTGTATCTTTTAATGGCATTTTTTCGGGCAAAAACGTTTAGTAAGGTGGTGGGAATAGGTTGACATTTAGTCTACAACTTGAATTCGAATGATTTGTTAACAGAAGCAAAAGTACTTCTACACGCTTACCCAACTCATTGTTTACGACATGTATGTCATCAGCAATTCTTTGGTAACCAAACCAAAACAAATAACACAAAACATTCAACATCGAATTTCTTTCAAATTAAGAAAAAACTCTGAAATTTCCACTCGCGCGCAACAGAGAATATTTACCATTTTTCTGATGAAGACCGTCCCATTTAAATTATTCAATATAAAATCTCTAAGAGCGAAGTGGAAAACCATTAACTAACGGAATTTAAGCTGCGTTTTAACACTGCCTGCTTCAGCAAAATGTAATGGTATTAGTTTCCATCGCCTTCTTTGTTTTTGAAATTCTGCGCATATTTCAATACAACAATCACTTTCTCAATTTCGTGAGTGTAATCGGACAAGTGCACGTTTGTGCAACTCCCATGTAATTATAAATGTCATAGTCTGAACTCTACTTATAAACTGATTTTCTCGCAATTTTAATGACCTTACCGGTATTGGTAAGTAAGCTTTACAATAACAATGAAAATATATATTTGTTTCTTTTTCTTTGTTCACGGCAAAAAGGATTGAGAAGATCGTCAGACATCTATAACTTGCAGTTAGTGCCAGTATTAGGAATATCATTTGGAACAAGTTACAGTTACTTAAACGTAACTACAGCCATAATAATTATTACTGTCATCACATATATAAAAAAATTCGCAAGAAAAGCAAGTTGAAAATATTATCAAAAACAGAACTTTTTTTTAATTTTAAAATTCAGAACTAGTATTTACACTAATTCAGATTTTACGGCTAAGTAATATAGATGACAGCATTAAATTTGTCGAAATGGTTTAACAGTTTTTTCTATTTTTAAATCAATTTTCAAAGGTCCTACACTATGGCGATATTACCACAATACTAGAGTGTTAGTTACTTCATTTGTTCTGTAACAAGTAACAGCTTAGGAAAATTCATATTATTATCTGCCACGACCTCATCACAAGACCATACAGGTACAACATATTGATGTCCAAATACACGTTTCAAACAGGTATTCAACAGGTTTTCATCTTACTGAACCATTTTAACGTTTATAGCAACATGCCACATTTTCTTTCAATTTTCAGGGAAAAGTTACAATAAACAGCTCTCTTAACTTTCGCTCATGAATCAGTGTAATTTCGATATAGTTACACTTGAGTTTCGCGAGCAAATTCACTTGAACAACAGAGCAGTTGGGTGCCAAAGCAGAAACATCAACACTATGTCATCCTAGAAGCTCTTTTTCTTTATTCACACTGTCGTTATGAAGCCTGTCGAAAATAAAACGAGTTCATTACTAAACCAACCTACTGGTACAAGACGTATGATTCAAGTATGACGCAGACTCCTACCCAGTCCTCATTGATGTGCTCTTCGGTTGAGAAGAGATTGGACGCCCCTAAAGGAGGAAGCGCTGTGTTCGACTGGCGTGTGTATATTCCCAGGCAATACCTTTTCTTCGTTGTAATTGATACAAACATGTTTTCAAATCGATGATAACTCGCTGAATTTGCGAATAATATTCTAAATACTATTCGCAATATTCTAGCCACAAGTTTTTCAACAAAATCAATATTTTGACTTATCAAATTCTTTTCTAGTCAACTTAGCTAAGAATTTAATTTACTTTGTTTTTGTATTTATTTAATGAATTTATTTATTTATCCCTTTGTTTGTGTAGTTCTTTTATGTATTTGCTTGTTTGTTTATTTCTTTACCTATAAATTTATTTCTTGAGCTGTTATTTCCTTGATTTTGACATTTTTACTACAAGTTATTCTTGACGAGTAAACGTATAAATTTATTAGTTCACTTGTTTTCCCTATTTATTTAGATATTTATTTATTATTCGTATATTTATTCATTCATTTATTTACATATCTAGTTATACGTTCATTAATTTAGTTGGTTACATTCATAAATTTATTGCCATTGGTTCACTCGTGTTTATTTATCAAAATATTTATAGTTTAACTTAATTTTATTTTAAATTTATTTCACTTAACTGATTTTGGAAGATGTTCGTCTTTTGTACAATGCTACATAAGAAGACGCGAAAATAAGTTATTTATTGGTACAATTAGTAGTAACTATTCTCATTCACGTTTATGCTGCGGAATTCCAGAATGTGTGGGTTATGTAGCCCTGTTTGTTGAATGTTAGTTACGTAATAAAGTGATGAATTACCACGTGTAATGTCTCCTTATTTAAAGATCCGTCTTCTCAGATTCGGGGCATTTAGAAAGAGATACGCAAGCCGGTAAGTCTGGAGGGATTTTCTACCCACCCCTCTCCTCTTCGGCGACGTGATACACAACCAGTGCTTTCGCATCCAGCCGCTCATTGCCTTCGGCCACAATCTTTTCCCATTACTTTACCACGCCAGACAATGAGCGGCATAATAAATGAATGAAAATGGTACACTGTGTGCGAACAAGTATTTGTTAATCCCGTTCGCAGATCGCTTCTTCCAGCAAGGGATCAGGGAATGAGATAGTTATTTGGCGATTTCCGAGTTTGCTTCTGCCTCTGTTTCAAAACGAGTTCTCGGGCAAAACCTGTCCTATGAGAATGAGTTTGATTTGTTTGAAAATCAACCCGTAGGTGGAACACATTTTCATAAGAATAATTTCGCAAGAAGACTCGTTTTGACACAGAGGCAAAAGACAACATTGTAGAAGGAAGGTGTTGTGTGTTAGTTTGGAACTGTCGCTGTAATTTTTAAAATGTTATTGTTAGCATTTACCATGCATAGTTTGTCCTCTTACAGCCTTTGTTTATGGCAATTTTTAATAAACTGTAATGTCAGATGATTATTCTGCTAGATAAAAATAGCAACAACGTATAATGGACATGTGTCGGCCTTATATGTTTAAGAGTTAACTGTTAGTTCGTGACATATGGGTATAGAGGCTGATCACGCGCTCCATCCTTACTTGACAAACCTTGGAGTTTCTGATTGGGAGGCTAAAGGCAAGTAGACTGACTTCAGTTTAAGTGCTATTGTGAAAGTACGTTTATTTAGTTTGTAGTTTATTTAAAAGAGCAGTATATAAATATTCAAAGACCTCAACGAAGACAAACCGTACCTTTTGCCTCGATCATGGAATCAAAAAGTCTGTCTTCTTCTTGTTCCCTGGAAGTGATCAAAATATACATTAATCAAAATCCTTTGAGTGCCACACTCAAAATGTGAATTCTCCCCAACTGATAGCCTAACATTTCATTTCATTCACTGTAATAGTAATGAGAACTCAGTCATTCATCGCGACAGCGTTTGCAGCTATACTGCCTCGTTCATGATATTTAGATTCCCATTACTACTCTGCTTGACAGTATTGGCTTCTGTAGCGAGAAAAGAGACATGATCAGTTTTGGACTCATTTTATTCAATCTCGTACATGTACCATGACACGAAGTTTCTACCGTTCTGCTTTACATGTTACAGGGAGTGATGATAAGGTCCGTTCCAATTCACTATAGTCAACAAACGTAAGATTCAAAGCAAAGTTTGACGGCATTAAAATCATGTTATGACTGTGCGTAGTCACTCCATCAAACGCAACGGGTAAACGCTTCCGTGTTCCACGAAACTTGAAGATTGCAAGTCAGAGTTGTAAGAATGAATAATAATGCTCAATTACGAAAGGAAGGGTTAGCTTAACAAGTCAGTGCAGGGCAATAAAATAAAGTTTGTTCCACTAACCTCTTTCTTTCCTCGTCTAACAGTTCAACTAATGCGTTTCTCTGTTCCACGATATCAACAAGTTGTTTCGTCTTTTTCTGTATGGTTCTATTGTCCTCCTTTTTTGGACCTTAAACAAGAAAGATAAATAGCAAGACGTTTCAATGTATTCTGTTCAAGATCTAGTTATGTTCAAAGCACTAACCATTTTTGCTCGGGTTAAACTAACAGTAGCTTACCTTCTTTCATAAGAAGTTCTCTGATTTCCTGCTCCAGTCTTCCTTGTTGATCCTCGAGCTGAATGGAGTTGGCTCTGTAAGCGAAACGCTCATTTGAGTCTGAATTACATTTCTAGCATTGCTCGTACCGCTGTACGGTTCGTCTGTACACAATACACACCCGTCTGAAAAGTGTAAGGTCTTTGGGTGACTGAACTAATCCAAGGAATTATCATACAAGGTGATGAAATTACTTTGAGAAATAACCGAACGGAGCGAGCGACATGGCCATATTGTGATAATATGATAAAGCAGCAGTTAGCATCCCTGGGTCAGAAAGGTACCTCACAACCTAGGCACTCTGTGTTTCGCACCACCCCCGCGCGCGGACACCAACACCTCCCCCCCTTCCCTCCCTACTCTTCCACGACAGGACATGATGGCTTAAGTCACGATGGTGATGGCAAAGTTCGTAACTTCATGTCGCTTCATTAAAAATAAGACTACAGTACATCCTACAATCTAATACCGACTCCATGAAACCCGCAGATTGTTGTCTTGCAGTACATAGCAAAGCGTAAAACAGCACGTAGAACCATTTTCACTGTTTTAGCTACGGTAGACTGACGCCACTTACTGTATAACCAGCTCTGACTCGTATCGTATCAGCGCGTTCTTTCTGTTGACCAGCTTAAACCACTGCAGCATTAGCTGTTGTTCTTCAGATCCAGACACTGCAGAAAACAAACAAACAAACAAACAAGTCATTAGGTATCGTAAACCTGCAGACAATACTGTCATTATATACGCAGCTAAAAGAACAAATTACTTGACTTAAACAAAATCAAACCTCAAACTTTATTCACAATATTAAACGGCACTGTGCTACTGAAAGCACTTGTCAATAACCTTGAAGGGTTTCGTCAACAGGAAAACGCCAGAGCCTTACTGATCAATAACTCTAGGAGAGAAGGGCAGGGAGCAAAGAAAACAATTTTTTGGCTCTAAATTGTGATGTACTAGCCCGAAAATCATTCTCACTAGACCCAAAATCGACTCAAAATCTCTCACATTGCGTCTGTAATTTTAAATTCCTCAAAACATTAAGCCAAGAAACAGAATCCACTAGCCCGACTGGAAAATCCACTAGCTTCGAGCTATCAGGGTTAAAAAGCTAACGTTTTGAGCGATAGAAAGTAGTAAGTGATAATGTGAAAAAAGTCACGGATTTATAGCAAGTCCTTTGCAGACCTTACATGGGCGTCACGCAACGCTTCTTTTAATTAGCCGTGATACAGCTGCTATTTTCATGACCGTGCAAATAACACCTACAAAGGACATCATTGGATAGCAAGCTGACAAAGCTTACCGTTTCCACTCCTCATCGCCTTCTCAACAACAACTCCCTCCTGCTCCAGGTCAGCTTGCTTGACAGCCAGTTCCTCCAATTCCCTCTGTATTGACTGAGCCATGCGCAAACGCTTGGACTCTCGTTGTTTCATGGCGTTACGGATCTTGGCTTGCTCGCGTCGTTTCAGTTTGTCATCTGGCATCTCGGTATTGCGTCTTCCCTGGAATAATAAAAAGTGTCAAACGAGCTATGTATTATGTCTGGATTTATAAGAACAGTTAATGAAATCGCGTTAAAGAAATCTCCAAAGTAGACGATGTGGAAATTTAAAGGAATGCCAGTCGTTTCCCCCCACCCCCACTCTCTATCTTCCTTTTCTTGCTCTTCTCTATTTTTTTTTTTGTTTTTTTTTGTTTTTTTGGCCTTTAGGAGTCGTGAAATCAAAAAGTGCAAATGGCTGATTTGGTGCAGAGTACTGACACAATTTTAATGAATCCAGTCATTACATATATATGTACAAAAATAATTTGGGGGTTAAAGAACAGCTCAGTATAATAGATACGAAAACAAAAGAAAACAGAAAAAACACTAAAACTATTAAGACAATGCTTCTGGACAAGTTATCTCGTAGCTAACCTTTCCGAATCGCTTGGCATTTGTTCGCTGAAGTTTTGGACTGTCAGCCAAAAGTTCCTCTTCACTCGACTCTGAGAACATTGATTCGTCTTCTTTGGTCTTTTTCATGGCTTCTACGAAGAACAAAACGGGAGAAAATTCTCACAAACGTGGTCACGCAAAAAACCTACATAAACTATTTCATTGTGCATCCTTACTCATACCATGCACTTGTTGAGACATCTACAACTGTGCCAACATTAATCTTAGATCACGTGACATGTTTGTCACATACCTTTCTCAGGGGTGCTAATTCCATCCTGCATATCCACCACCACAAATCCCATATCTTCTGCCTCTTTCGTTGTTTTCTTTTCCTTTCCGTATTCGGCCACTTCTTTTTTAACTTTGCCAAAATGGAACCTTGGTCTCCCGGTCTGCTTGCGCTGGACAATCTTCGTGGTTTCCTTAGTTGAATGAAAAGGTTCTTCCTTACTAGGAACTCTGGGTAACGAGCGTCGCTGAGCGCCAGGACTGCCCGCTGGCGCAGGTTCTTCCTCTTTTTCAACCTTCTTCACAGCGGCATCTTTAATGGAGCTAGGTTCCTTTTGTTCCTCTCGTTCAGCCCACTTATCTTTCACTGTTAGAGGACGGTAATCATTGGCAATCAAATTAGTCAATCTTGCTGCCCGCGAAGCCACAAGGGATTTCCCAGGAGGCTTTTTATACGGCGGTGACGTAGGTGATGTTGGAGAGGTGGGAGATCTGGGCGGAGAAGTTGGTTCGTTCTTGGTTGCCATAGAAATTGTCTTCGGTCCTGGCTTAGCTTGACCGGGGGCCTTCTTGTCAGCAGCAGGAGCAGGGATGTCATCATCAAGTGAAATGTCCACCACTTTAAGACGCACCTTTTGATGTGGATTTCGTTCCGTTCCATTTGCCGCTTGACCAATTTGTTCCAACGTTTCTCGAGTGTCCTTGTCGTCAGGATTGAAAAGCATTGATAATGGTGGATACATAGCTCTTCGTGACTTGACCTTGTTCCTCTCCAGCGTGCCTAGTTTTTGAACTATTCCCTCGTTGGCGTCTTGCCTCTTCGCCCATGATTTGCCGGCGGCCGCAGTCTTGACAGCATCGATGACGCTCTGTCGCTCTTCGTCTCCTTTCTTCTTCCTCTCAGCCGGAGGAGAGTCTTCCATATTGATATCGACAACAGCCATGCCCTTGGTGACGTCAATAGTCTCACCAGGAGTGCCCGGTCGAAACTGCTTTTCCGCCTCGAACTTGCGCACTGCATCCCGTGACGGTATCTTCAGCGGCTGAGCACTTCTTTTCCTGCCATCTCCTGTTTCGTCAAGCCCATCACTGAACGTGTATCCCTTGCCTCTCTCTCGCACAGTGGCGTCAGACTTGCGTACAGAAGCTATGCTGGAGCGCCGCAGTGGACGCGCCTCTAATCGCCGATATTTTCCAGAAGAGTTGGAACGATCGCGTCTATCTCTCTGACGAACGTCCTTCTCCTCGTCGACTGTTTCTCGATATTCGTGGTAACCGTTCATTTCAGCGCCACTCTCCCCTTTGGCTTTAAAACTCACGGGTTCATCCGCATCAGGTTGGATGGAAAACTCGACGTTGTTGAACAAGGTGTTAGGAGCGGCAGATTTAGATTTGACGAGTTTTGGTCTGTCTTTTGCTGATACACTCTCTTCATCTGCGGGGAAAATGAATCGTAAATACCGTGTATAATGAAAGCTATTTATGGTCAAAAAATATGACTTAAGGTGCGGATAATATATCGGCTGAAAGAAGTGTTGATGTGGTAATAAAGGAAAGAACAAAATGCCAGAGAGCCGCAGCGTCTTGCCCCAAACTTTAAATTTCATCATAAAATAAGCCAAATTATCATAAGCACTGCGGAGCATGGAGGTTTTGACTGGTTATCCACCAACTTAACTCTCATAATTGGCAAAATGGCAATGGGCGCCAAAGGCCGTAGTAACAGTAACCGTAAAGCTTCGATGAACGAACAATATACAATTCCATTGGAACAACCAGTTTTGACTTATTCCTACAACTTGCAGCCATCAGAGACACATGTACACACCTGCGGGTTCCTCTTGCATCTTGTACAGTAACTGGTCATAGTGAAGATGACACAGAAAGTGTCCCTTGTCCTGGTCTGAAGAAGGAGCTATGTAGGAATAAGTACCCAGTCTCAGAGTACAGCCACAGTTCTCGCACAGGAAACATTCACGATGGAAGAAATGCCCCTCGGCAGATAGCCTCTCCATCAGATACACGCGGCGATTACAGAAGAAACACTGTTCGCTGGAGTCCCTTACTGAAGGAACATTGTTCTGAAAAGAAACAAATAACGTTTTAAAATAATATAGTAATAATTTAAATATATAATAATTTGACTCAGAAATACTTGAAAGATTTATTTTAAGTTTATAAACTAAAAATAGTTTTACAATGGTGAACGCGAATCAACTTTGGATCCAATCCTTGGGCCCTTATATCATTAAAGTTTTCCCGCGTTAATTTCTGTTTTTCGCAGTTAGAGGACTCAAAACACACGACTGAATACCAAAGATGATGTTTTTTTTTTTCAAAGCCAGTGGAAGCTCGCTCTCCATTCCTAGGATTTTATACAATTTTGCAAGAAAACAATAAAGAATATAGATGAACATGACTCACTTGCTTTCCATCTACACTAGGTCCAAACACTTGTGCTGCCAGGGCACTGATACGATTACTCGCTTTGCCAGTAGTGACAGCGGGGGCCTGGATTGAGTCCTTCACGGGAGCAGAAGTGTCCATGGGAACCTCGTTCTCCTAAAATAAATTACAGTATCACATAGAGAAATGCGCTGAGTTTACGTTATGTGAAAATACAATGTGCTTCTGTGCTGTTACGAAATCAAGGGCGTTTGTGGAAAACAATCGAAGCATATCCAGAATAATCACACGCGCGAGAAACAAAAAAAAAACAAAAAACAAAAAAGCGAAGCCATTTTGTTTCGTTTTTTCAAGCAACGTCTGTAGGAACAAGGACTACTCACAACCTAAAACATCTATCTTCGTATCGTTCAACTGCTTTTTCTTGGTTTGTTTTAACGATTTTGCAAGGGAGGGGGAGAGCTAACTGGTGTTATACTAAAGAGACAAAGTACTTTAAAATTTCGATTACAAACATGAAATAGTGAAACTTGGCAATGACATTTCCTCTTGGCATTTGTTACGGTCTACGCTGTTTCTCTAAAGCCACGAATAAAAACCATTACCTTAGACGCTGATGGCCTCCTTCTTTTAGGAACTGTGTCAAAAGTGTCTTCACTTCGTCTTTTTTCCTACGAAGAATTAAAGAAATCTCCTGTAAAATCTTTAAATAATGGTCCGTATGGCATTTTGGAATACCGTATTCTACTCCTTAAAAAGAAGCTTCACTGCGCTTCTGATCATTTATTGTGTAAACTCAATTCTGCTAACACCCATGTACAGTGTAGGCTCTTTGTAAATAGCAAGGAAAAACTAACAGTGTTACAAATATAATACAGTAACCAGATCGTGCACAATTAAAATACAAATAAATAATTACGAATAGGAGTTTGCAGTGGTGTAACTCATAAGGAAGATTTTCGTCCGCTGTTTCCAGATCGAATTGGAATATAGAAGTATTGGTTTTTATGAAAGGAGGAAAATTGGAGAACCTAGAGAAAACCCTTGCAAGAAGCACGAGAACCAACAACACACTCAATCCGGGCCTCACTGATGGGAGGCAAACGCTCTCACCACTGCGCCATCCCTGCTCCTCCAGTTAATATACTGATAACAGTTCCCCCAACTCAGTGGCGGATCCAGACCTTGAGGTAAGGAGGGGCCCGGCTTTGTTTTGCTTGCCCTGCCTGCTTTTCATCCTTCTGTTATTTCTTCTTCTTTTCCTCAAAATAAGGGGGAGCCCGGTCTCCCTGGGCCTCTCCCCTAGATCCGCCACTGCAACTAATACAGCAGTGTACTAATTACAGAGTATACAAATTACACTAGAAATTGTTTTTCCCCCTGGCTGACCTTATGCGTCCGACGAGACACTCTTGTCAACACTGACAGCTTTGACAGAGGAGATTTGGCTCTGAACTCACGTTGCTCTGAAGTCTTCTCAACTGTTGATCAATATTGAACATTTAGCGATTATTCTACGAGCCCAAGTTGGATACGAGGTGATTAATACTGTAGCAAACGAGGCGTGTAGTGCCGCGAGTGTTATAATCACCTCGTTCGTGTCCAATAAGGGCGATCGACTGGATAATGTGGACATCTCAGTTACATCTAAACGAAGTGATGGTCCAAAAATGGCGGGAAAATTTGTCGCGCGTTGTTCACTTTTTTAGTTGAATGAACTTTGTCAGGAAAGGAAGCAGGACAAGAGTTTTCTTCCGAAATGTTCTTCGCATAATCACCTCCAAAGTTGTCTACGTCCTTGAAAATTTAGCAGTGGCGTTGCTCAAATTTCTACGCCTTGTTCAAGGTCAAAAGAAGCAAGAGTTTACTTGTTTACGCGGCTGTTATTATCACGACTACAGATTGTGTTGTTCAGAACCGATGGAGTTCACTGAACGCGTGCTGAACTGTATAGAAGGACAAGAGCCAAATGTAAGGTAACAAACTTCAGTACTTCAGAGTTATTTTGTGCCGAAATACTGTTTTATATACACTAACTGAACGATATTATGTTGGTTTGTGGATCTTCCCGTTTTGTTTCTTTTTTTTTTTTTGGTTTTTGTTTTTTGTTTTGCTTTTTTAACTGCTCTTCTCCTATATTAAGCTTACCTTTGTTATGCATTTAAGCTTACGTTTACAAGCCTTTTCGATTAAGTCAGAATGTTTCTATCTGATAAAAGTAGTGGTGTTAATTGTGACATTTTGTGGCTTTTGTACTTTGCGGGATAGCATTGCCTTTTATTCCCTGTATTTTCGTGATAGTAACCGCACCAATCTGCAATGTTTTCAGCCATTTTGTCCGACAGAACTTTTTAGTACCAGCGAAAAATTTAAACTTAGGCCCAGTTCAGACGCCGAACTTTTCATGAGCCGAACTTAATTCAAATTTAGACCGACCCAAATTATCAAAAGTACACCTGTTGATTCAGACTTCGAACTTAATTCGCCGAACTTTATTTAGAGTAAACCAAATCACATCGAAATGTCAGCGATTTCCAGGCAAAGTGAAAACTGCTTGTAAAATAAGTTAAAATAATTTATGCATTAGGTTCGGCTCTTGAAAAGTTCGACGTCTGAATCAAAGCCGTTCCAAAGTTGAAACTCCCGGCTGAGCCAGGCGGGAAGAACGGCTAGGCCGTTCCAAATTCAAATAGCCGTTCTTAACTGATTCAGACGCCGAACTTTTCATGTACATAATTCAGTGTATTTGGTTCGGCTCATGGAAAGTTCGGCGTCTGAACTGGGCCTAAGCGACACTTGCCGCACTAATTTCCGTGTACGGTCAAACACAGGTATAATGACTCGGAACCGAGATCCACTGAACCAGACAGAAAGCTAGAAAAATTATGCTTTATCCAATGTTTAGAACTCATAGCAGATACTAAGCATGTCATTATTAAGCTTAACTTAATGTTACAATACTCCTAAAATAAGAGGAGCAAAATGCTCTTTGGTTGAATACCTGGAGTCTCACTCTTGAACACTTCATGGTACTGTGACACGTAGCTGACTATCATCAGTCTGTCAGGAACTTCCTTCATCGCCATTTCACTGGCAGAAATTTGTGGGGGAATGCCTAGATGCTCTTCAGCAACATCAAATGCCTAAAAACATGCACACAAAACTGTGAATCTACTTTCTCTTTACAAAACTGATACACTGCCAAACATACAATGTGACGAGAGTAAAGAAATTAATGAAGTACATTTCATTGTAATGTCTTGACTGATAATTACCAAATTATTTGATTATTGGATCTACATACTGTATCTTTGCATGTCTATGTTAAATATGAATTGAGGTTGGAAAATTGCTGATTGTTTATTTATAATACTACAATGTTAATGTAAGAGCATATATCAAAGATCTTCAAATATATGTCTATGATTTTTCTTTAAACTATTTACTTGCATTGTTCACCACTTATGGGTATATTAGAAACTCACAAATGTGACCAGCTCCCAGTTGGCTTGACAGCTCAGTTGGTAGAGCACTGCACTGGTATTGCAAAGGTCATGCGTTTGAATCCTGTTCAGGCCTGAATTCTTTTCAGGTTATAATTTCACAGCTGCTTTAGTTGTGTATAATTAACCGTGAGGATCATTCATGTCTTTACAGTATAATTTATGCAAGATTAAATATTTTTTGTAAAATTTGCAGTGAAACATATGATCATAAACTATAGTCCTACACTTGAATAGCCTTTAGGTAGTACAGACAAAATTAAATAAGGAAAAGTAAATATTTAGAAGGTAACAAATAGAATTTCCTTGAATCAAGGTAACACTACAGTGTCCAAAAAATTATATTCTATCTCACCAGCTGATTGTTCTTTAGATGATCTTTAGGTGACAGGGAGGAGTAATCACTGAAAAGAAAAATATTTCATTTAGCCAACAGAAATTATCTAAGTACATGCATCTTAACCTGTAGAATTAAAGCAAGTTACACTGTTTGTGAGTTTCCTCACAAATGAAAGCAGGCAAGTAAGAACAGGAAAAAAGAAAAACATCATCTAGTAGGTAGACCTAAGCAGTCATGGCTGAAATTCAGGAGAGGAACAAAATGGGTAACAACATTACAGTGGGATACAATGAGAGACTGAATGCTGGCAACATTGATTGGATGACTATAGTAAAGAATTACTAACATAAATAGCACACTGATGGAGCTGTTGTTCAGAAATTGCACTACTTACATCAGATCAGGCCTGTAATGATGGATAATAGCACAGAAGCCAAGCCCATTTCGCCAAGATGTTGACATGTCACTGATCTTTACATTCTTGTACTTCTTTGTTTGTTCCTGACACCATTTCAGCAACATTCGTGCATTTACTGGAACAAAACAGAATGGAAATGGTAATAACACATTGTACACCTTACTTTACTTTCACAACGGGTAAGAATCATTGTCAAGTACTCATGAATGAGTACTCTACGAGTTGCTGTCATATGGGTACCAGAAGGCAAAAGGAAACATGGTTGACCGAGGGAGATGCTGGAGAACAGTGAAAGGAGAGGAAGCATTGGCTGCAAAGGACAGAGTAGCCTGAAAGTGGAGATCTTACATCCCTTTCTCCACTAGATTTACTGAGGAGAAAAGTAAATAATAACAATGCCTATACTAGCCAGCCACCAGCCGCCAGCCGCCAGCTGCCAGCATTCCACACATACTTTTATTACCAAATTCCAGCTTGCTAAATCATGAAAAGACGACAGTGCAGTGTATTTTTTTTTTTAATCCAGCACCCATTCCCTTGAAATACAACAATATTGTAGTACATATATCCTCCCCCTTACCTCCTCCCTCAATAGTACTGAGGTCTTTGCCAGTGTCCATAGGCTCTGATCCATCCTGTTGATCAATTGGCCCATTCTTGTTATCAAACAAGTGTTTTATTCTGTTCGGTGACACACTTGACTTGTTTAAGTTGGGATAACGTGTGCCCGGGTTAATACTGAACTCATCAAAGTTCTTGGAAATGTTCTCAGGGGTTGTCTGAGCAAGAAGACGAAAAATGCTGTCTCTTTCCGCAAGCAAGTCAAGTGGTGCTTGCCCCAGTCCCCAGCCTCTCATTGTCCAAGCGGCATCAAAACTTCCCAGGAAACCTCTTGCACAACCAGAGCCTGTTGGCCAAAATGGCTGAAAAAGATGTCAAGAGCACAACATGAAACATCTCCACACTATTTTCAAACATTTACAAGGTGGAAGCGAGAGTTGTACTTGTTTATCATATGTACACATTAATTAAAAATACTGTAATTGTAACTTAGCAATTATTTATTTGCTCTTAAAAGGAAATTTACATGAAGTTTTTACTTCTGAAACATTATAGGCACTGCCATAAAAATAAGATGTAAATATTTTCTAAATACAAATTTTCTCAAAAGTGGTTAATATATGTATGTAGTCAATAAACTGTGCTCAGTAAAATAAAATCTCACACAAACCATTTATGCCTGCAATTACCAAACAGTTAATTTTACCTCCAGCAAGCTGTCTCCCACCACTAATGCGAGAAGACGCCGTCCTCTTCTTTCATAAATTTTAGCAGCATGCTCAGAGTGATACAAGGAGGTGAAATCAAACATTGCCACATCTTCTTTCTTATAGTGATTCAAGGCAAAATCTAGTTGGGGAAGCTGGTAGTTTGTGGAGAAGTTTGCAGCTTCTCTGGAATAGGCCAGTAGTTTCTCGTGGTTCACATTGCTTGTTTGAAGTAGATCATATGCATCTTGGAAATCCTATGCATGAGAGAGATAAAACAAACTTACATGTTAGTAAGTCACTATTGTCACTAATGAGTTCCTAGAGCAAGTTAACTAATTAATCCACTTCAGGATCAATCTGTGATCCAGGATACAATATCACTAATTAACTTAAGCCCAAGAGTTAGTGCAGAGATCCTTATGGAAGAGATATAATGAAACTGGAAAAAACTTGCGCTACAATAAGTATCTTCAGATAATTGTTTGTCTGAGCCACTTTCAACTTGCTTCATAACTAGACTGTTTGGGAGAAGTCAAACTCAATTTTCTACAGGAGCAAGACCGATCTGGAGAGGCAAATGTAGGTGTGCTCTAAGGGAGCAATGACCAGGTGCAGGGCTTGAAGAAAACTTGTACTCCAGCTTGCTCTTGGGACAAGTCGCTCTCAAATTTTGCTAGTCCTGGGCAATGGGTCGACGGGTCAATGGGTCAGCGGGTCCCTGATAAAACCTGACATCAGTCATGTTTTTTGGCAAGATACATGTACTTTACTCTCACAGTGGCTAGTTTCATTCTCTAATGTTTGAACAAAACTGATCACAAGCATCCAGTCCAAGAGAAGAAACACTAATCCTAACAATTCATGCTATTCTTCACCCTGACTGATTATATTCAGGAAATCGAGTTTTTTCAAGTCATATCACACTCACCTTCTTGATCACTCCTTTCTGAAGCAAACTATTCTTCTTTGCACACATGACAAAGTAATGTGTCTCATCTTTGTAGTACACAATGTTCTCCAAATCAATACCAGTGGTGTCTTTTAAGTCTTGAAAAAACTGTTGATTGAAGATGAATGCAACACCACTAATCTCCTCCACCCTTGCCTCTTCCTTTGAATTTCTATTAACAAAGTTGACAGTGATGCCAATAGCCAGTTTTCCACGGAATTCCTTCCCTTTGAAACCCTTTAATGCTGACCGTCGTCCATCTGCTCCCACTATGATGTCAAAATCAAATTTATTGAGAGGATGGGAGGGTGGGTCAAAGGTTCCTCTCCAGCCATGAGCTATGAACAAAAATTAGTAACAAATGAATATAAAATTTATCTACCATTGTAAATAACATGAATTCATAATTGACAGAACATAAGAGGTGGTATGTTCAAACTCTAGCTGGGGTCTTAAAATAGGTGGTAAGATCATACTGGCTGAGTATACAGAACTAATTCTCTACTTAGATGATTGGACATTACCCAACCAAACTTTTGAAATTTCTGACTTATTATACCCTATGATCAGACATCATGACCAAGCACCAAAAACTTTAAGTTGTGAAGATCTTTGACACAAGTCCTGCTGCATAATAAAGCTTATTTTTAGCACTGCACCTATGGGAACTGAAATTGGTTTGAACAATCAGTTGGTTTGAAAGATCAAGGGTATATTTTTCCTCACCTTCTTGCCCAGGAAGCAAAAACTTCCTTTGATCAATCAAGAAATCAAGGGTAAAAAAAATCAAGATTCCACTGTGAGAATACATTGTAAAATAATTATCTGAGAATTGATTAAAAACCTAACATCACTGACTCAGCTCCATAGTCGGATACAGTTGACTGTATTGTACACCTCTGGTTGGTTGAAGAAAGAAATCAGACAGTTTACCTCAGACTAATTCATGGGTTACCAGACAGGAGACAAAACAAAGAGGAAACTGGTTGAGCAAAAGGACCTACCATCAGTGGGCTCCACTAAGTTTATGAATCCACACTTGGGATAAACTTGGACTCCAAACAGGAGTGACACCTTGAGAAGAATAAGCTGAAGTCGTCGAATACCTGCATATGACATTTCAAAGCAATGTCATGTTTAGCTCACCCAAACTTTCCTTAATCATGCCATTTTAATCTGGGATTTATTAAATTCTTCTGTGACCCCGATAGTTTCCCTCTTGCCTTGAAAATGATGTTAAAAACATCAAAACATCGGACAGATTCCATTTGTCTGGGGTATTCTTTACTTTCAGTTTACAATAAGAACATTTTTTTACTGCATATATTGCTGGGTAGTCAAGTGTAACACACTTGAGATTGAAGAAGTAAATTACAAACATACAATTTTCAACAATAGCGAGGTTGAGAACCAAGGAATTCAATAAGGCTGTGAAATCTATTTTAGAGAGCTTTCCCAGATGTGATGCTCAGAGAGAGCAGGAGACATTTTTGGCAGTGGGCAAACTGCCAGCTACCTAATTTCCTTCAAATTAGCAAGAGGCAAGGGATTATTACTGCTACCAGTAGCGAAAATATACGCTTCATGAAGTTTTCAGTCTTAAACAAGTGTTAAAACATTCCTTAATATGTGTTGTGAGACACTAATGAAAGAATTCAATTTTTTTTCAGTTTCGAGCAAGAGTTCACGTTTTTAAATTTAAACAACAATAAAATTATACAAACATGTACAATTTTCAAACTAATGAGTGCAGCCACCTGTAATATTACGTTTGAAATGCACTTAGCACTGCGTAACATGAAAACATCACGTAAGCGTGATACTTTTTGGACACTTTCCCCTCATATGATCGTACAAGTGTTTTAAATGAACTGATCGAGGATAATTATACATTTCCTTTTTCGGCCGCGCGGGTCATATGATGTGCATATTGTTGCATAACGTGCTCCTTGTTTTGTAATGTGTATTCATTTTTCCACATTACATTTATGTTCTTTGCAATCGGTTGAAGTTACTATCTTATGACATTTTGTTCCTTTGGCAATAGCTTCCACCCATTTTTACCTGAAAATTATGTTTGTCGCATCACACAGTGAGAGTCAAGCGAATATACAATGGAATATCGATTTTTCGAATCACCTGCGGGAACGGAAATGGGTTCGAAAAATCGGAAGGTTCGAAAAATCGAAGGTAAATTTCTCCCAATATTTTTGCTAAGGGAACAAATACAGTAATTGCTTCGAATAATCGAGAGGTTCGAAAAACAGAGGGTTCGAAAAATAGGGAGTCCACTGTACGATGTATATGCTAGATAAAAAAAATATACATGAGTTGAGCATGAAAGAATCAAAATTCGATCAATGCCTGTTTAACTTAAGAACATCTTAGATTCAGCGATTGTGTTCGCGACATTTAGGAAAATGCCTCATTCAAATATAAACAAAACACAATGTTAATTGAGATATGTCGATCCTAGTCGGAGTTCATCTTATGTCTGCAATTCCGGAAGTACCTATATTCCAACAGCAAATATAGAACAAGAATTAGGATAAGGTACTTACTAATATGATCGATGGCCCCAGCACAAAATTGTCCAAAGAACTTCTTGGCTCCTAAATTTTTCAGGTCCACAATTAAGAATGGCCACAGATGTAGGACATTGTTGCGAGAAAAGCGATCGCGTTTTTCGATTACCACAACATAGGCACCGAGAAGCGCGGCTTCAATGGCCGTCCTCAATCCGCAAGGCCCTGCACCAATAATCAGCACTTTATTTTTGACACAAGGCTTGTTTTTGTAGTCCTTGTGTTCGACTCGTTTGTCCAGTTTAGTCCACAGCGACTTGCACTTCCAGGAAGTCAATTTGGACTTGAGAGAAGCGTAGCACGTCTTGTGATTGCGAGGGTTGACATCGACACTCAAGCAAAGTTTTCGGAAAACGTCAAGGGTATCACCGAGACCTGAAGATTGAAGAAAGGCGTCGAATAGCTCATCTGGTGTTAGCGTGCAAATTTCTTCCTTGAAAAACCCATCTTCTACTTCCATGACGCGACGAATTATGGACTTCAAAACGAATTTCAGCTCGTCGCTATAGAGTACTTCGAGGAGTGGTTCGCTGAAAAGATGCCGCTTGTCAACGCGATAAATTGTTCGAATGATTCACCTTTATCGCTTCCACGATTGTTCTGACGAGAACGTTTTTAATCAAGTTTGTCACTTGACCCATTTTCACCTTCGTCCAAGTCTAACAGTCCGAAATTATGCCGAATTTAGGCATAATTCGCCTGTGAAATAAACTTTATGTAACGCTCTAAACAAACCCGAATGTTTGTCAGCGGTAACCTCATGAGAGACTCCCCGCTTTATTTACATTGGTACTTCTTTGTTCTCCAAATCGGAAGTGACGGATAAGATTCTTTGTCAGTGATGTAAGGAGGGAATACGTGACGCTCCTATTTGTGGAAGCAAGAAAAAGCATATTCAATCAGTGTTTCATGTGTTCAAAGCAGACAGATATCTGAATACCCGAATTCTCTTATGATGATGTCAACTGTATCGAAATCTCTTCAGCTTAGTCGTTAAAAAATTGGCTAGATATGTATATATATTTTTTGGTTTTACTTCCGCACCACGTCAGGCCTTCTGAAACACATTCAGTCTGCTTCCGGTAGCATCCCACGAATTGAACTGAGGAGCTAGTAAATTCGCTCTCTACCTCCCTACAAAAATCCAATAAGCCCAGTTGGACCCTCTTAAAGTTCTGTTTTGCAATGAACAACCAAAATAATTTTTGCGCCCTTCCGTGACCTTCCGTGTCAAATTATGAACTTATCTATTTTACTTCACAAACAGGGAAGTAATAGTTTTTCTGAAGTAAAAAAAAAGTTATTGCAAACATTTCAGTGTTACGGTTTATTTTGTGTCAAATGACATCTGATTTGGCTCAGGATGAAACTCCCTACAAGAGATACTATTTCGTTTTTGAGTGTCGGTTTTTTATATGATTTGTTATATTTTTATTTGGTATCATTTTGTTATTTTGAAAGATTGACAGATGGATCCCTCGTGTACTGCACTTTTTTCGAGTGAAATAATGGACTTCCGAAAAATGTACAAGAACTAGGGAGAAATCATTGAAATTGCAATGCTCTAAACGAGCAAGGGACTGGGTACGAAATATTTAAAAGACCTGAGCCTGGTACCTAACAGAGCCAGAAGAGCATTTAATTAAAAGGCAGTACGTTTACCAAATGTCAGTGTCCTTTATTCCAACACAAAGATGTAATAAACTTTTGAAAAGCTGTGATTAAGAGAGCTTTGTATGGTTTGGAAGGACATGTCCCGATGACCGCAGTCAACAAATGTCATCTTGATTACGTGTCTTTCTCAATCTAAAACTAGCTTCTCAAGCTATGTGTAATGTCCTGAAATAAACACTATTTAAAAGAGGAAAAGTGCATGTGAACATTACATGCACGAAGGATGAATTTTATGAAAGATTGAATATTCAAGATATAATTCTAACATTGATATGGAAAAAAAGTGTCGGTGCACAGTACTCTGACTATCAAACTACGAGACTTACTCTAAGGAAAATTATTGCCTCGCTGAAGGCCTGCGTACATCCGCTCCCTCCCCTAATAAAATGCTCTCCCCGATGGCTAGCCTCCCTATAGCTTGGTCTGAATCAGTACACGAGCGTTGTGCGATTCACCGCGTTATTGCTTTCAGTCTCTCTTTGACTTCCGTGAAGTTAATTTTCGTCTTGGTAGCTGGAAAAAACAGCATGGTCTTCTGAATGATGTTGAGGTACGAAGCGTTTTGAAAGTAAGGTATGAAGCCGCCGGAAGTTCAGTATAATCAGTCATCAATGAATTAAGGTTTTGAAGTGCGGGTGCCAACTTTAAAGTGAAAGGCGTAGTCCTAACTAAATAAATAACAACTTTTTTATATAGGCACGAGTGTTTTACTGGAAAATCACTTATTCGTAAACCTCATACGAAGCTACCGTTCGGGACCCAGGTAGCGTAATTTCCATATCCTTACCAGTGAGCATATTGAGGGTGGCAAACGTTTTTTGCGTAACGCGTGATCGCTCCAAAATTAAAATTGAACTAGAAGGATAGCTTTCATTCAAAGTAAATAGTAAATAGAGTCTTAAAAAAAGACTCCGATCAAATCGTGGCAGACGCGACACCATTTTCTGGTCTTTTTCGTCCTTTTCTTGACCTCTAATGTCTTTGATCTTCGTGGATCTCATGGTACTATAGGTCCAAACAATTGTGATACAAATTATAGGAATAAGGCAATTGAAAATAGTTAAACTTTGCACAAGGACCATGAGCTTCAGTGTTATTTTTGTCCATTTTGTCGACCGATCATTTTTAGCAGTGCATC